GCATGGCTGACCTGGTTCAAGTCCTGGACCTGGTGGTTTGCTTTCTCATTTTCTCTCTCTTTCTCCCCACCTCTCTCTCTCTCATCAAATTAAAAAATAATATGCGCATCTTAAAATGTCCTGTTTTGATTTTGTTTGTTTGCTTACTCACATTTTGTTTTTCATTCTCAAAATATGAGAATAGGGTGGGTAGGTGGCACCATGGTTTGAGATGCTGGACTCCCGCATGGGAGGTGCTGGACTCCCGCATGGCTGACCTGGTTCAAGTCCTGGACCTGGTGGTTTGCTTTCTCATTTTCTCTCTCTTTCTCCCCACCTCTCTCTCTCTCATCAAATTAAAAAATAATAATAACAAATAAAATTAAATAAATAATTCGTAAGGGAAAAAAAAAAAAACCCTGTGGGAATAAAACATTTCTGATAAGAGATGTGGCCAGAGTCACCTACATCTGCCATATCTCTTGCCCTCAGGGGAGGGTGGTACCAGCATGGCCTGGACTGACAATATGACACTATAAGTGGCAATTATTTATTTCCAGGTGTGTCTTCTAGGTAGTGAGGGAATTCCTTGTTTTGCTTGTCTTGAGTCCTGGCTAAATGCAGGTAGTCTAGAGCAGTGGAATGACTTAGGTTAACATTTCCTTATAGATTTTTTTCTTCATGCCAAAGGGTGTGTTTGCACACTAGGAAGAGAAAGAAAAAAAGAGAGAGAAAGAGAATGAGAGCGATCCCTAATAAGGCCTGATCATGTTATAATCCCCATTTCTTCACCTTCCCATCAGGATCCTGGGCTCATGTACACACGTATCTGGCTACACACACCTTGTGTATTTTCAGGTTGTCATGAGAACCAGCAGTCAGCCATGTGGGATCTGGCTCCCTCCACTCAGGGTTTAACTTCTGTGCCATGGGACTGGCTCGTTAAAATGTAAAGTGTAAATGTTAAAATGTTAAAATGTAAAGTGTAAATGTTAAAATGTTAAAATGTAAAGTGTGTTAGTTAACTTACTTTTACCCTCGGAAAACCACTCACTGTTTCTGACTGTGAATTTCTTTGTATGAGGGAATGATTTCTTCACTGCCGACCAGAAGGCATCGGTGTGAGGTGCAAATGAACTAAACTGCACAAAACGATTTTCCACATTACAGGACACAGCTTATTATTAGAATCTTAACCTAAGACGTTCGTAGTTTTCTTCGATGAACTTTCAGAAAGACAAGTTTGGCTTTTCCAGGGGATATTTCTGACTCTGAAAACATTCATTGACTCACTGTTCGGATCTGCATGCAGTTGCTTATGTAATTGTATGGTGGTTCTTAAGCATGAGTTTTTATTAAGCATTTCAAAGCCGTTACTCTACATGAACTGATCAAAAAACTTGTTTTTTGATTGTTTGTTTGTTTTTAATTCTGCTTTTAAGATGACTCAATAGCAGAATAATGACCTGTCTATATAAATTTTATTGTTCTCTCAGAAACCACAGGAAGCAGATCAGGACTTCTGGAAGCCAAGAGTGATGTTGAAAAAATTTTTTTGAATTCATTTAGTCAGAATGTGGCTAAAATAAAATGTTCAGTTTTGCCTACACAGAGAGCTTGCTATGACATCTTGCCACCAACCAGAATGGTTTAGGTGCCATTAATCAAATCAAGTCACAACGTCAGCCTGCAAGCTCTAGCTGGCGGCATCTAAATGAGTCGGGCGGGCAGCACATGGAAGGCTTTACTGTGGGACTGTCAACCCGCTTGGGAGGGGCCCCATTTGTTTGTTGCCAGAAAAGGCACTGTCATGGTTAAAATAATGCGTTTGATGCTGCTCAGATCTAGGCACATGTATGTTTTTTGCTTTTTAAAAGTTGTGTATCTTCTGAGCCTCAATGTTTTTTCATCTTCAGAATGAGTTACAACTGTTTACTTGACAGGCATAATATGAGAATTAAATCTAGGACATCGTTTGGGAAAATATAGGTGCTCAATAACAGATAATTATATGACCTGCAATAGCTAGCAATATTATTAAGTGATAGTGGGTTATATTGAAAATTATTAGGTTGTCAGGAAAGTCATGACGTATTTTTCTGTTTTTCTATGCAAAAATGCATCGTGACTTTCCCGATGACCCAATATAATGGTAATAATGATGTCTTTACACATGACAAGTGCTGTCCTAAGAAATCATAAATACTACGCCATTTAATCCACACACACAGATAAGAACTATTACTGGCCCAGGCTTGCCACTAAGTCAAGTATATTGCATAAGGGAAAAGGCAAAACCAGGTTTCAAACTCCAGCATTTTGACTCTAGAACCAGGGTTCTTAACCACCATACTATACCATTGACACTTTCTTGCTTAATAATACCACCATGGATTTAGTGGCTTAGTGAAATAGGTAACCACGTTTTAGATGGTTCAGGAACGACAATAGCATCACATTCCTGTGGCTTGTCCTAGGTCCTGAGATTTCAACCCGCAGAGAGTGGGTTTATGTCCGCTAGGTGGCACTGCTGCTTAAACGAACCATGAACAGAGCCAACACTTGGGTATAGGCTCCTGTAAACTCGCAGCACAACTTAATCGCATCTCTGAAAGTCAGATGGAAGATGCCACCAAATTACAGCCCATCTAGACACCTCTAAAGGCTAAGGAGCTCTTGAAATAATTAAGAATAACACGTGCTAGTTTTTATTTGCATGTCAATGTCTATACAGAAAATCTGGATGAAATGGAGTTTATCTAGTCTATCATGAAAAACAAAAACAAAACCAAAACAAACTGAAGGCCAGAGCGGAAGAGTGACTTATCCAGGGTAACCCAGTCCTGATCATTTTAGCTATTGTCCTCTTTCCATAATGTTTCTTACTGATGTTAAATCACAAGGAAATTATGAATTTTGAGCTCTTAGCAGACTTTTATGAGTATAGGCAGAAAACTGTCCAAATATTGTGTTTTTGTTTTATTAGAATCTAAACATACATTCCATATCAATAGTATATACTTAGGAACTTAAAGAGAATAAACGCAAAAAATAAGTGATCCTTGCCTTTATCTTTTTGTACACACACACTAGAAGATTGAGTGACTCTACTTAAAAAAGATTTTCCCTATTAGTTGGCAATTCAGTTGCAAACATTAAACCCATAGCAGGTAACAGGTAAATGAATGAGCACACGGATCCTAGAGTCAGGCTGCTTGGAAGCAGATCCTGGCGCTATCATTTAGTAACCAGAAGACTCTAAAAATTCGAGATTTCTGTGAACCTCTCTGCTTCGGTAAAATGGAAGTAATACTCTTACTTATCTTTTAGAACATTTTAAATGTGTATGAGGTGCCTGCAATATAGTAAAAACAAGGTTAAGGATAATCATTATAATTGAATGCTTTTGTTATTAGAGTTGCTATTTAGTGTTCTGCGTCTCTCCGTTGTGAAAGTTGTGAAAGGAACTTTGTCAACAACTTATTTACTCACCATCACCATTCAGCCTTCAGCTGAGTTGCTGAAAGGGAGACAAAACTTTTCAGGTTTATAACTGTGTAACATCACTTCTTCCTCAACCAGATGGTACAAGTAGCCAAGAATATGGCCATGTATTTCATTATGTGTTCACAGCAACTTAATTTAAAACACTTGTAGGCTTTCGGCTCCTATTTGCAGGTTAGACAGAGAAGGTGACTGAGCACATGGCACACAGATAAGAATAGCTGGGAGTTACTGAGCACTTGCTGTGTGCCCAGCATCCCCGTGTTTTACAAGTATTGATTCATTTGATTCTTGCAAGATTGCTGAGAGCTACGAACTATCATAATACCTTCCCCTTTTTAAAGATGGGTTAACTGGATTGAGAAATGTGCTCCAACTTGACAGCAGACAGACTGCTTGAGCTTCAGGATTCCTCTCTGGCCTTCAGGATTTGAACTCAGGTAGCCGGGTTCTGAATCACTCTGTTCTGCCACCTCTTGGCGTGAGCTGTGAGGAAACCTCAAGAGTTTCTGCACTCTCAGCTGTTTTCCTCAGTCCACTGACCACGAGACTTCAAAAAGTGTGTGGGGAAAATGGAATTAACGAACAAGTTAATTTGTGTGCAATGATATTTTAAAATCCATGCTTAATTTTTTTCATAATATGTATTTTCCATGAACTTTTTAAAGAACTGAGCTACTACAATGAAACCTGGTATAGCCAATGTTTGCTTAGCTGTGCTAGGCTACTGTTAGTATGCAACTCTGCTTCCCAGGAAGGTAATGTGTTAAACCTACATCAAGATTTTTATAGAAGTAGTTAATGAGATGAACTGGTTAGACATTTAATAGACTCCTGAGCTCACCAGAGTAAAAAGTTTGCAAGAGGTCAGAAAAGAGCTTGCCTCTTGAAGACCACCCCAACTGTACCCCAAAGGGGATCAGGTTACCAATGCCATCATGCTTAGGATGGGTTTATTTGGCACTCTTGGTTTGGTCATATTACAGACTACACCTTTCATGGCTGCGATTCAGAATCCCATATGGAACTCTTGGATTCATGTGCACAGGTGCGTTAGTGGTTTTCTGGTCTACCTCACTGTCTTTATAAAAAAAGGGAATTGAGGACCAGTTGGCTAGAGTTTTGCTCACAGTTATATTTCAGAGTTGGACCCCTGTTCATTTGGTTATTCTACACCCCTTAGCTATCTCACTTTGAATACTTGCTGAAATTTCCCTGTTTATACCAACATTTTTCCTTTAGTGAGAACCCAAATTCAACAGAGAGCAGCTGTTCTTTACAGATAGCATCTTCCTATTTATAATTTCTTCCTTCTTCCTTTGCTTGAAATAAGCTTTTATGGAGCTAGAGAACAATGACATTTATTAGAATGTATTTTAAAATCAATTCCTTTTCCCAGTACAAGCCATGAACGCAAGTAATTCAGTTAGATCTAAGAAAATGACCCTATTAGAAAGGACCAAGGCAACTTCAAAGCAGAATTTCCAAAAATGAACTGGGAGGAGACTCCCACTTACCGATTTCAGTCATTGTTATCCCTGGTGCTAACTGCCCATTGTTGAAAGAGCTATAGGTAAACAAGTTGGGTACGGATGTGAGGTCATAGATAGGTTCTTGCTTTATCTGTTTGATTCCAGTCATGTCAAGTCCTGACTGATCAGGGGACGGCTGACCAGAATCTACGTTGTAATAACCCTCGGACTTGGGCAGGTCAATGACATGCCCGTTGGCATAAGTGCTGCTGGTCTCGTTGTTCAGGTTGCTCAGGCCGTTGCTGATGCTGTTGCTATACACCCTGGCAAGGGCTTCCGCCTCCCCACTTTGCTGCTGCCGCTGTTCCTGCAGCCGCTGCTGGTGCTTCTGCACCTCGGCATACAGGCTGTCCCTTTGCTTCTTGGACATCCTCCCGAACTTCACAGCTGGGTTGGAGAGAAAAGCAAAAAACAAAAACAAAAACAAAAACAAAAAACAAAAAACAGCACTTGTGGTTATCCTTCCCCATGAACTACTCTAGGTCCAAGGAGTCAAGGATGGCTGCCCGCAAACACCTAGCACCATAACCTAAGAGTCCATTCGTCTGAGCTCCCTGTTCAGTAAAGGGTTGTGTAGTCAGAGGGTGGCTGGACCGGTTTAAGCCCATAGTGAGAACTACAATCTAAGCTAGGAAGAAATGCAAAAATGTATGCATTTTTTGTTGCCATGAAGTTAGAAGGCATACATCTTTGTTTATTTTTTGGGGGGTGGGGGGAAAGACAAACATAATTCCCAAAACCCCAAAGTACCAAATCCTACCTGCTCTGAAAATATCAACGACATTCACTATTGACTCCCTCTTCCCCTGAAGCATCGGGATTACTAGATGGTTGGACAGGACTCTGTCATCTTGTAGACCTATGACCAAGGAGGCAGCTCAAGGTGACGAATAAACCTTGGAGTGGGAACCACATCATTTCCCTTCCATTGGCTTTTGAGAGCCAATACGAATCTTTAGGAAGTAGCAATTTTATATAGTCAATGTCCAGCAAATGAACCAAAAGTAACTATCTTTTCTCATTCTACCACCCCCAGGTTTTATTCTGCCTGTCTCTTTATCTCTTTTGGCAATATTCTCAGTCATTCTGAAGAAAAAGGAGTGAGGCACTCTGCAAGGAGTCACAGGGTAACATAAAGATGCTTTCAATTTAATGTATTGTTTTGAAACTTTACAGAGCTTTACCTTCTGACCTGTTATGGATATTGACATTTTCCCTCACAAGCTGTTCACTCCCTTTCTAGGATGTAAACAACCTCACTCACCTTGCCTGAATCATCAAGCTCTACTCAGCGCATGTTAGTAACGGAGACTACTTTTGAGTTTGTGTTAACCGGGGCGGGGGGCTGCCAAACTTGGGGTTTCTCTTCTACTTTCTGTTTTCTTTTGTAATAGGGTCCCCATCACCTGTTATGAGCTTAGAGGATGCTGAAAGATGACAGTGGAGGCTAGGAGCAGGTCTGGTTTCTGGAAACAACAGGGTTGGTGCCCTTCAGAGAATAACGAAATGAGGAAGTGTTGAATAACTCTCTAGCATGAAGGGCCCACAGGGGGATTTAGGATGTGAGAGGGCTTCCCTTCACACCTGCCACATACATAGTATTTTTCCAAAATTCATTTTCTCTTTCAAATGGATATAGAACTACCTATAAAACTGTTTATCTAAACATAGGCTGTTCAAAATGGAAACTATAGTCAGTGGCAGAAGTGACCATGGGATTAAGTTCTGATTAACAGGAAGTAAGTGGAAGTTTTGCATAGACTTCTGGGTATTGGGGCATGCCGTTTTTCCATTTGCTTGCCTGATAGGATATGGATGTGGAGGCTGCACAGAGAGATGCCACATCGCTTCTTATCTCTCCTACTCCTTCAAAAACACTTCCTATTTCTCCTTACTCCTTCTTATAAACCTACGCTCTGGTTTTGTGATACTGTCAAAATAGGAAAATGAAGTGGCAACTATCCAATAAGTTTTCTGAATGAAGTCAAGCAATCTGATCAGTTCGGACCACCCTCCCCTTTCCACCTCAGTTATTGCTTTTATAGTCTCGACTCATTTAGATCATTGTATTTAACTTTGTTTGTAGAGACTGCATTTATTAGATTCTGTTCCTCAGAGACAAATGTATTTGCTTACTAGTTGCAGTAATATTTCCAGTCTGTCTATGGACAGAATTCTACGGCTGACTTTTAGGGAAAGCTTTCTCTGTACCTTTATGTTGTATCTTTCCAAATAATTTGCTTTCTATTATTCTCTAGAGTTAAAAACCTTTCTTTCTTTATATTGCCAGAGGGTACTTCCTCTCATTAGATAGAAGGAGAGGAAGAAAGCACCCCCTAACTACAAAGGAAAGTGCAGTCATACCATGATCCCTTCTCCTCTACTGCTCTGTCCTGTCAGGATTTGGGGTGTGTGCACATACACCTGCCCAACTTGCTTTTTTAAAAGATACTGGACTGGAATTTGAATTGCAGGGGGCCATGCGAGACCTGGCTCCTTTAACCTCTAGACCATAAGGTTGGTCCAAAACCTTTTTATTTTTAGGAAAAAGTAAACAGTAGTAAATACTGAATCACAAAGGACATCTGCCCCCTCCCCCCAACCGCCAAGACAATAATGAGACTTTGTCTCTTGTCTTTTGCACTGATGTAAGTTCAGAACAGGTCTTTGTTGGAGACTTGTGGAAGTGGATACAAGATTTTCATCTATTGCCATAAACTAAGATTTTTGTTTAGACCAGGCTAGATCTACTTTCAGACTTATTTTGGTAGAATAGTTTTGCATTTTTTTAAATTTAAAATATCTAGGAATTAGAAATTGAGAAGAGGAAACTCTTCTCCATTAACATAGAGGCAGGAATACAGAACCTCTTTTTAAAACCCTTTCCATTTCATCCTTGCTTTAGATTTCAATATGCTCTATATTTAGGTGAAATACGCTTTGTGATAGAGTGACTGCATTAATGACCCTGACACCTGTCACCTATTTCCTTTTCTTTTTTTCTTTTTTTGGAGAGGCTTTTGCTATAGGGCATGTGCGCTCACCAGAGAGACAGAAAGCGAGAAATCACTCCCCAGGGAGGATGGCCATGCCACAATCCCTTTTCCTCCATTCTCTTCTCGAGATCTTGGGCACACATGCACACATGCCCGGTGTGAGTTTAAGCCACTGGGTCCAGGACTCGAACCGTGGTTGTCTACATGGAAGTTCAGCGACATAGCCATTATGCTAACTGCTGATCCCTCGCCTATTTCCTTGTATGTCTTTCCCCATTCAATTTGGACTGTCTTTTCATTCTGTGCAGGTGTCCCATTACCCCTTCATTTGCATAATCTGTCCTGGGCCAGTAAGAAATGAACAAAGGTGACACAAGCAGTGACTTGAGAAATACTTGTGCCATCGGGATCCTCACCGTGACAAAGACACGCCTGAGCTAGCTGCAGGAGGATAGCATGTGTGAGGAAGAGCTGAGCTTCCTCAGTCACCCCTGCAAGGCTATCTACAATGAGTACAGCCAGAGAAAAAACCTGCAGCAGATGGAAGCAGAATTCCGCTGTTGATCAGAGACCTCCTTATTGAAGCTAACAATGCCAAGAAGTACATTGCCAGGGCCAGCAGGTGGCAGAGTGGTTAAGGTGCTGGACAACCAAGTGGTCGACTATAGTTTGAGTCCTGGACCTGGCAGCTTGAAAATCACAATGGATGTGTATGTGTACATTCCCAAAATTCCGAGAGGAGAATGGAGGAGAAGGGATTGTGATGTGATGATCCCCCTGGGGGTTATTTCTCACTTTCCCTGCCACAGTCTCTCTCTCCTTCAGGTGAGCACACACGCCCTATGGCAAAAATTGTAAAAAGAAAAAGTACACTGCCAAGACCTCTGCTCTAGTAAACATTGCAAGATTCAGCAATAGAAAGTTATGCCTTTTCTAGAGATAGACTTAGGTCACTATGAAATATTTTGAATGATGCGTTTTAAAGCTTTGCTACATTTTAGAGTTAACATTCTTCATCCTAAATCAAGGACTTTGCTGACAACGATTATAATACTATTCTAGAATGAATTTTCCATTCTTTTCAGAAACACTGATGAGTTACAGTTTCAGCTTTATGTTCCCCCCTGCAATAAAAACTGTGACATATTTGGGGAAAATTATAGCACATGGTAAAAATAAGCTTACTAAACCAGACATAAATAATTTCTTTTCACGACTTGTAAACACATGTGCTGCATTCATAAGTCTAGCTTAACAAGAGCCATGTCGCTATTGTATTTTCAAGTATTTGTTTTCTTCTCATCACTTCCCATTCATCAGAATGGCACCTATTTTAAGTGTTTGCCCCTCTCAAACTTGAATTATTCTGTTAATGACATTCACTTGAGTAGAGGCAGCCTCTCGTTAAGCTGCTACCTCGTAAAGAAACCAGCACGGTTCTGTGTACATTGCAAGAGTTTTATATCTGATGATGATGGTATTTCCTCATAATGTACTCTCCACCCTCAGTTTGCTCTCACACTTCCAAAGAGCAATTTTTCTGTAAAAGTATCTGAAATCTGTTTTATGTGTACTTGGATTGGGGATTCAAAACAGAAGGGAAGTTTTCAGAGTAACTAAAATATAAAGTCATCGCTCCAAGTGTCTCCTGACTACTACGTGCCACCTGGTACTGTTCTTGGTTTCAAGAGAAATCAGTCGTAGGATGGTCATCAGTGACCTTCTAGCCATTTCAGAAATTCTCATCTTACTAGCTTTAGTTTAAAGTTCTGTATATTTACATCTGTTTTTTTTTTTTTTTGGAGAGATTTTTGCTCTAGGGTGCATGTACTTGCTGGAGAGACAGAGAGAGAGACAGATAGTCAGAAAGTGAGAAATCCCCCCCTGGGGGGTGGCCACACCACAATCCCTTCTCCTCTATTCTCTCAGGATCTTAGACACGCATGCACATGTGCCCGGCGTAAGTTTAAGCCACCAGGTCTGGGACTCAAACTACGGTTGACTACATGGGAGTCCAGCGATGTAGCCATTATACCATCTGCTGGTCCCATCTTCTGTGTATTTACATCTTGCTTCTTAAGTTAACTCTGTCAGCTTTGGGGAGGTGCCTCCCACCCTTTTTAGTACTCTAAGCTTTTCATTAGAAGTCTAACTAACCCCATTATTATTATTATTATTTTTAAAGGTTTTTGTCTTAGGGTGGGTGTGCTCACTGGGAGAGAGAGGAAAGAGAGACAGAGACAGTGAGAGGGGAAAGTGAGATCATGCCACATGGGGGATGACCATGCTGCAATCCCTTCTCCTCCATTCTCTTTCTGGGGTCTTGGGTACCCACGCATATGTGCCCAGTGTGATTTTTAAGTCACCAGGTCCGGGACTTGAACCATAGTA